CAGGAGATACTCCAACTGAGGCTGCCTTTGTGGGGCCTAAGACTCTGGTGATTTCTGGGCCCTCCAGGGGCATTACTCAGCCCACCAGCTGTCCACCCCCCACTTCTCCATTGGAACCAGCAGGGAAGAGCCTAGAATTAAGAGGGCTGGAGCTCATGTGTCAGGAGCACCCAGGTGGGGGTCTGGGTGGCACCCACCCCGCCATCAACAAGAGAGCATGTGGAGCCTGGGGAGTGGCCAGGCCAGGTGTCCAGGAGGCCTGTGGGCTGGGGGCTGCAGGGCTGCAGGAGGCTGTGGTGGGCAGGGGGTCTCCTCCCAGACCCCTCCCCACTGGGGGACTCACATTGTAGGCGTTCTTGATGAGCTGGACCACGTTGCCGGAGTCCTCGGACAGCTCCCCGACAGCCGACTTGGGGATGATCTCCGTGAGTTTCTGTTGGGCAAGACCAGGCACGGTCCAGCTAGAACCTGGTGCCACAGGAGCCTCTGCCCCAGGCTCCCACCAGTGTGAAATGGCCCCACTGTCCTCAACACAGCTTGCCACAGCTCAGTTACAAGAGCCACCTTCAGGATGGCACTGGCAGGTGACAACCAGCTCTCAGGACATAAAAAGCCCTGAGCTGAAGCTCTGCTGGCTCCTGTGCTGTGAGGGCTCCACCCTGGTGCATTTCGGGCTAGTGGCCTCCCCAGGCAGGGGAGGGGTGTGTGGCCGCACCAGCAGATGGCCTTCCACCGCACAGGCACAGTAGGTGAGTGGCCTGAGAGGATGGACCACAGTAATATGTGGTCAGTCATCAGGAAGTGGTAAGTTCCGGGCCTCTTAAAGCATCTACACAAAGTAATTTTAATAATCACCGTGTTAACCCTGTGACAAGCAGCTGGGTAGGCCAAGTCTGGCTGGCCTGGGATTGTCCCTGGGGTAGGCGACCAGCCCCTCACTGCACATGGCCCCAGCCAGCCTCTCCCTGCGCCCGCACCCACCTTCGCTCAGTGCAGGGCCTGGGCCATTTCACAGGAGATGTTTAGGTTACTTCATCTTCCAGGAACACACCATGGCTGCCAGGTCCTGCCTGGCCCTAATCCCCTCTCTGACTCCCCAGAAGGGATCTGGCCCCTCCACAGGCTATTAAGCACCACCACAGCCTGTCTCCACACCTCCTCCGGCCTCCACTCCCATCTTA